TTATAAATACAATTGCCAGTTTAAAAGATAAAACTTCAACCACTACAACCACCACAACCACCACAACAAACAACAATAACTTTTTAAATCCATATGCAACTTTACAATCAATGCAAACAACCCCAATTTCATCACCATCAAAATCCCCAAATATTAACTCTGTTTCACCAACCTCAAAAGTTCCAAATTCATATTATAATCAAAATAATTTAATTTCAACACCAATAAATATTATTAATAATAATAATATTATTCATAATAATAATAATAATAATATTAATAATAATACCGAATATAACTCCGAAGAGGAAAGTGAATACGAATCAAGCGAGGTTGAGGAACCAAGTAGCCCAGCCATGACAGTTCCAAACTCACCATCAGTTAATGATGATATTTCATCAAAAGTTGTAAAGAAAACTGCAACCAGCCAACAAGTTGCTGCTGCTAAAAAACCAAGAAAGTCCTATGAAGTTTACAAGAAATTAGAAATTTTAGACGAAAAGAATAAATATGGAATGAATTTTGTAGTAAAAAAGCATCACATTAGTCGTAGTATCATCTCTCGTTGGATCTCAAACATTGACAAATACAAGAGCTTCAACAAGAAAAACTTAAAGAAACTTCATAAAGGCCCAAAAGCTTCATTCTCAATGGAGCAAGAAAATATTATCATTGAAAAAATAAATCAAGCTCGTCAAAATGGTGAAATCGTTAGTGGTGAAACAATTAAAAAGTTTGCTTTAGAATTATCAAAACAATTAAATAATAATACTTTCAAGGCTTCTTCCGGTTGGCTCGAAAATTTCAAGAGTCGTCACAATTTAAATTTAAATAATAGACAGCAAATTCCAAATTTTATTAATTCAAATATTCATAGTAATATAACTAATATAGTTAGTAATAATAACTTTATAAACCAAGAAAATCACTAAATACTTCAAAACAATATTTCAAATTTTAATATAAACTATAAATGTATATAAATCAACAAACAACCAATCAATCAAATTTTTTCTCAAATCCGTTTTTATTGCGCGCCTATATTGTGATAACACTCCAAAGTGTCTTAGTTCAATATATATATAATTTTCTCTTTAAAAATTGTTAACAACAATCTAATTTTATTTATTATTTTTTTTATCATTTTTTTAATATTTAAAAAAAAAAAACAAAAAAAATAAAGTAAACATGTAAATTTTAAACTTATAAAAAAAAAAAACTTGTGTAATTTTATTTATATCTTATTTTTTATTTATAATCTATAATACTTGGAGTTTATGGTTGGTGGAAGTGGATCTAATTCATAGCTATTAATTTTATTTGGAAAATTTGAATAGTCAATGTCACCAAAAAATAAAATACCTTGTAAATTTTTATCTTTTATTAGATCGAATAAATCTTGTATGATATTTAATGAAATATTTTTAAAGTCTGATGAATAATCTTTATGGTATGAAATCGACAAATATTCTATTTTGCATGAGGAGTTATTTAATATTTCTTTAAAAAATGATTTTATTATTAAAAGGTCCAATTTATTATTGCAGGTGTCAAATATTAAATTTAGATACTGAATTGAGTTGTTATTTTTAAAAAAAGATAAAAAAGTTTCGAGTGTGTTTTTTTCTACAGTCATTGTTGCCGTTTTAAATTTAATTGTTAATTTTTTGAGTGAGGGTGGAATTGTTACAAACTTATAATCAAATATTGAGGAGGTGGTATCGTTGCTGCTATTAATTTGGAAAAATGTTAAATCTAATGTATTTGTATAAAAAGACAGTGATTCTAGTTCTTTTAAATTTTGGACTAATGCCACAAGTTCATGACCCCTAGATAGGATATTAAAGTTGAATGATTTGACGTGGTTGCTTATTTCACTTATCCAACTAAGGCATGTGTCTACATATTCACCATCACCATCGGATACCTGGAAGGTGTATTCCCCAATGGATTTACTTGGATTCAAATTGAATATTGGTGCACCATATGTATTTTGAATTTCACATGATAAAAAAATCTTTTCTATTGAGCTTAAATCCCTTAAACTATGTAAAAAATGTGTGATATGTTTTTGATTTAATATATAGAAGTTTCTTATTGTCTTTGAACAGTATTTGATTATTTTATAAATTCGATTGATTGTTGGATCGTAGTAATCTGAACTACAGGGATAGTTGATAACTATGGTTTCTATGTTTAAATTTGATATTGGTTCAAAAAGTTCTGCTTTTATATTTTCTTTTTCTTTTGTTAAGGAAAAGTAGAATATAAACACAGTCGATTCGGTTCCTATGCTATTTAAGATTTCTACATTGAAGTCTATAGGTTCATAAAAATCAAAATCCACTTTACATCTCTTTACATTTCCGAACAGTTTTTTAAAATTTTCTTTTCCTAAAATATCAAAAAAATTTTCAAAATAAAAATAATCTTTTTCTATAACATCAAAAAACTGATTTTCATATAGTTTTATTAATTTATTATTATTTATGTTGTTTACATTTGTTCTATTATTATTAATACTATTATTATTGTTATTATCATTAATATTATTATTATTATTATTATTATTGGAGGGATTTATATATAGAAGTTCTTTTGGTTGAAGAGAATAGGTATTATCCGATATTTGAAATGGAAAGTTGTTTACTATTGTTCTAAAACAATCTTTAGAGATAAATAATAAACTCATTTTCCAGTTATAAAAAGGAGTGGGCCTTGGAACTTCTCTATATTGTGGATGGCTACTAATAATAGGGTCAATTTTATCATTGTTTAAAAAAGGACACCATGAAAAAATAGTATCAGATTCCCAACAATATTTTAAAATAACTCTAAAAATAACATTACTGAAAATTATATTATTGTTATGCTCCATTTTGGTTTTTGATTGGTTTTAAAAAAAATTAAAAAAAAAATTAAAAATAATTTTTATTTTTTTTAAATATTTTTTTTTTTAAAATTAATTTTTTTTTAAATTAAATATGGAAAGCTTTAGAGATGAAATCAACGATGCTATTAACGATGTCGAGTATGGCGTTAATAAAGTAGAGCATATAGAGGGACACACACAAAGTGAAGAAAATAGAGCTGCAATATTACGAGTCGAAACTTATGATAATATAGAGTTATTAGTTAAAATGTGTATAGATACAGGTTATTCAGTATGTATAAATTAAAAAAAAATATATATATATATTTATAATATATATTAATAAAAACATTATATAATAGGTTTTAGAATATAAAAATAACAGTGACCCCAGTTTAAAAGAAGATTTAAATAAGTATTTTGACTCATTATCAAATTTATTAATGAATTATAGTCCAGAGTTTCAAAAACGATTTGGTTTAAAATTAACAGAAAGGTTAATGGGTTTAAGCAAATAAACAAATAAGCAAATAAACAAATAAACGAGCAAATAAAAAAACAAAAAATGATTAATATGTAAATAATGTAAAAAATAAAGTTGTAGTTGTATTTGTAAAACAATATAATTTATATTTATTTTTATTATTTTTTATTTGTATTTAATAAATTTAAAAGATTTAGGGATAAAGATTTAATCTCTTTATCGTTATCGGTTGACAGTAGTGTTAAAAGATATGTTATTTCTTTTAGATTTGAGGAGGATGAAAATATAGTTTTTGGATATTTCATTAATACACCTAAAAGTCTTAGTGATGCCAGTTTAAGTTGCGGTGGTGGTGTTGAGGCAGAATCTGTACTTCCGCCAAGTATATCTTTGCATAAATCTAACACATTTTCAGAGTACATTTTCAAAGAAGTGGAGTCTTCTTCTAATTTAAAGAATAAGCTAAATAAAACCTGAATGGAACCTATCTTTAATCTAACGTCGATTATATTGCTATTTTCGATGAATTGGGTTCTGATGAGCAACAAGGTAATTTGTTTTGTAAAATATTCATTTTCATTATTATCCAAAAGTTTAATTAGTGTAACAAAGCTATTTAATAATACAATTTTTGATCTCTTTGAATAGTAGTAGTCTAGTTCGGTTGCACTGTTTTCGATTGTTCTTTTTTCTTTTTGCATTGAGTTTGTCAATAATATAATTCTGAATATAGTTGGTACTAAGTCATCCATTGAATTGATTTTACCCAGTAAATTCATTGATGGTTGGTTCTTTAATTTTTCGACAGTTAAAGATATTGTTGAGCTTGAGGCAATTGTTGATACGCCTTGCTTAATGCTGGATTTAACCATAAAAGAAATACAATCCCCTACGGCCATTAATAGTTTTCCAATCTCTGAATCTGGTGTTGCATTTGCCAACTCTTTTGATGTGTCGCTGTATTTGAATAGAATTAAATCGAAAAGATTCAATAGTTGTTTACTGTTTTTAAATGGTATGCTGTCTTTATTATCTGCATTATTGCTTTCACTCGATCCATGAATCAGATAGCCATTACAATAACAAAATAATATTAGTTTTATAAATTGCAATGACGAATGGGCAACCATGCCATGGTCTTGGCTATTGCTATTGCTATTGCTACTATAGAGTTGGTATTGCTTGGTGAGTGAGTTTGACATTGGACCTGACCAATAGCTAGGCGGGGTATAGCTACAACAATCGGATGCTAGTCTTCTAATTTCTAAAAGCAAACCAGTTAAATTAATTCTTTTAATTAAATTATCTACCAGCTCTGCTATTAGGATATCGTTTTCGGTTGATTGCTGGGTAAATTCTTTAAGTTCGGATACAACTTCTTTGATGGATATTGTTAGCATCAAAAGTGGTGATAAAAATTTAAATACATCTTCGCCATTTAAAGTATCGCCACCAACATTCCCAATTAATATAGGATTTTGAGTTTTTAATTTTTCATTAACACTTGAAATAATAATACTTATAATATATGGCTTATCTATAAATTTGATTAGTTTTGGTAGAATTTTTGATAGTACCGAATTCTTTGGGTTTGAGAAGCTTTTGATCTCAAGTATGTTTAATACGGTTTTCCAATAGTTGAACCTTGATTCATTTTCTTTAACTTCTGATATCTTTTTACCTATTTGGGTTATGGTTTTATCTACTATTATTTCATAGGAGTATGTGGGACTGATGTTATTGTTACTATTATTATTATCGTTGTTTTCATCAATGTCATGGTTATACAGGTCTGTTGGGTTATTATATGATACATTATTTTTTGAAGGTTTTGAATAGCAATCCAATATTATTTCTAATAAAACTTCAAATTTAAATTCTAAAGATGGCTCTGGGGTAGATCTTTTGGCCTCTTTAGGAGAGTCGCCATTTGTTTCGATCGAGTCTAATATCCACCTGGTGAAGTTACTTAAAAATTCATTTGAAATTTCTGGGGTGTTTGAAAAAAAGTAGGGGAGGACTCTTGGTAAAATAACTGATGGATCGAAATTATTTAATAAAACTGAAAAGCATTGAAAAGGTAAAGAGTGGGTGGATGATATTTCTTTGATTGGAGGTAATAAAATATTTAAAATATCTTCATATAATGATGCTGATGCAAGTTCTGGGTTATCTTGACATAGAGAATCTAAAACTACAATTATATTATTTATTATATTTACATTGGCTTTATATTTTTTTAAAAGATCTATTAATGAGGTGGGTGGTGATTTTTTAAATAGGCTTATTACAAATTCTAATAGGGTTGGTTTTTCGATTAAGTTTTCGTTTTTAATTAATTCTATACAATAGTGGTCATCTTGGTTGCTGCTATCTATATTTTCTAAATTTATTTTGTAGACTATCTCTAAAAGCTTTGAGCTGCATTTTTTTAAGGTAAAGATACTTTTTTCATCTTTGATATTCATCTAAAATAAAGGGAATATATTAGATATTGATTCTAAAGTTTATAGAATATATAAAAAGTAAAATATTTACCAAAAACAAAATAATATTTGAAAGTTTATTTCGATTTTCTTGAATATAGTTGTTTAATGATTTTTCTGAAAGGTTTGAAAATATTTGAATGATTAAAATAGAATATATTTGAATTTGAAGTATATTTATGGATGATGGTTGATTCGAAATGATTAGTAGTGAATTTATAATATTATTTAAAAGTGATGTTTTAATATTTAATGGATATTGGTAATAAAAAAATGGTATGATTTGATTTATAAAAATGAAATTATTTATTATTACAGAAAAGTCTTTTGAAAGGGCTTCGCATACTATATCTATTATAGAAATCATTAAAGGTTTATTATGGTACCACTAAAATAAATTTTTTTATTAGTATAATATATTTATATATATATTTTAGTTTTATAATTTACCTTTCTAATCTCTTTAAAATATTCCACTAAACTATGATTGAGCGATTTTAACAAATCAAAAGTTTTATGCACTGTATTATTATCATTTGGATCACTGTTATACCGAATTTGTAAGTTTAGTGTTGATACAGTTACTAGTGATACCAGTATATCTGAGGCTTGGGTTGTGAGTCTAGTCGGTGATATAATACCGGTTTTTTGATCTATAATGACACATTTATTTAGTATTCCTATTGTAATCGATGGTAGAATTTTATTAATTATTAAAGATAGCTCATCATAGTTGAGCAACAAACTTGAATTAATATTATTAAAGTTGTATATAATATAAAATTGTTGAATAAAGCTGAATAAACCCAAGATCTGTTTCTTTTCATCCTTATTGAATTCATTTTTTACTTTTCTATTTGAACAATTATCTCTATCTGTATTGAGAACTGGAGTGGTCATGTCGCTATTTACATTATTATTATTATTATTATTATTATCATTATTATTTATTTGATCAGTTAATAAATAATAAATTGATTTATAAAAAATATTTGAATGATTATTTAATATATATGATAATAGTCTATAAATTTTAAAATAGTTTTGAGGAGGATTTGATAGCTTTTTTATTAGTATTGATTTGTTATTACTATTATTTAATGTTGGGATATTATTATTATTATTATTATTTTGGTATTCCTTTTCACCGATTGTATATATACTTGATAGTACTATAGATAAATCAAACTTCCAATTGTCATTTATTTGAATTTCATTAAATTTCGAAACCATTGAATCCATAATCGAAAGCATTGAGTCTATTGGGTTAATTTCTATGGATTTATCAATTGAATTTAATGCTTTTTTTAAATCTGAATTATTACTAAATAATAAATCATCATTTCTGTTTTCCTGATCAAAGCTAACTTTGGTTATTTTGCTTGATTTTGTTGCAATACCAGTCGAGGTATCATTTAATAATATAAATAGTGATTTTCCTAATTTAAATATATCATCTCTTTCTATATTTGACTCTCTAATTGTAAATGATTGTTGATTTTCGATTCTATCTTTATATATTAATTTTGATAAGTTTACATTATTATCGTTATTGTCATTATTCATTATTTTAAATTATTATTATTATTATTGATTTATTTATGAAACATAAAAATTATGTATTTATTGCTTTGGAAAATTAAAAAAAAATAAAAAAAATGAAAAAATATTTTTTGATAAATTTAAAAATAAATTAAAAAAAAAAAAAAATGAAAAAAAAATATATAAATAAATAAATGTATATAAATATAAAATAATGATTATTAATATTCGATTTGTTTTTTTCAAAAGAAAAAAAAAAAAAATTTTAAAAAAAAAAAATAAGTAGTATTACTTTAATTTTTTTTTTTTTTTTTTTTTTTAATATTTATTAATTTATAAGTTGTTTTTAATAAAGTTGAAAATGGTTTGTTGAGCTGGAGCTAAAGTTGATGGTGAGACAGAGGTTGGGATCATCATATCAGCACAATGAGCAGTTCCGGTAATTAAAAGACTGTTTTTGATTGATGGTACACTAACTGGAGTGATACCAAGAGCGTGCCATGGATCAATAAGACCATTTACGTATAAAGTGGTGGTGATGGATGATGGAGCTGGACTGAGACCACCATATTCGGTTAAAGTCCAATTGGTATTTGGAGCCATGTTTGGAACGCCAAAGATATCGGCACATTGTTGAAGTTGGAAAGCGAAACCAAAGAGATCACCAAATGGTTGGGTTGATGATGCACCATCTGATGATTGGTAGTAACCAAATTCGGTACAGGTTTGGTACATCCACATACGACCACCAATAGCAGTAGCATCGTTGGTAATATTTTGACTTTCAGCGACTAAACTTGAATATGAAACATCGACACATTCACCACCAGCAAATTGGTTCCAAAGTTGGATGTAGTTGGTTAATGGATCTTGAGTGTTGTTGGTCATGATATCGCAAAGGTTTTGAGTGTTAACTTGACCTGGTTCTTCATTGTTGTATTGAACAACACCCATGAAATTACCAGCTAATGAGTTCATAAAGTTGGCAACATCATTAGCGTTTTCTAATTGTGAACATAAGTCGAATAATGTTTCGACACCACCATAGTTGTCTTGTTGAAGAAGTGATTGGACTTTATCAGTGGCAATAGCAATGTTTTGAACACATTCAGCACCACCGTTAGTTTGTTGTAATGAATTTTGAACGACTTGTAAATATTGATAAAAGTTAACTTCTGGGTTAACTGGACCACTTGAAGCGATTGTGATATCAACTAAATGTGGATATTTAATTCTAAACCATGAGGTTAAAGCACCTGAATATGAGCCACCGAATGAGACCCATTTGGTAGTTGATGGAATATTATATTTTTGAGCAATAAATTCTCTGAAGACTGCATTATCAGCTAAAGCTTGTTGACTATTTAAAAATTGTAAATTATCTAATGATAAATCTGATGTTACAAAACTCTATAAATCGTTAATAATAATAATAATGATTGTTAATAATGATTTTATTTCTTTTTTATCTATATATAAATCTGACTACTTACAGCACCATAATATCTGTGTTCTAAACTAACAATTAAGGCATTGAGTTGTTTAGCCCAAACAACAAATTGTAAACCAGTAACAGTATCAAGACCCATTGGACCTTCACCATTAATCTAATAAAATAAAAATAATGAAAATTAGTATACTGTACAGTTTTTTATGAAAATAACTTTTTTATAAACCTACCATAATGAAAACTGGACCAGTGCCATCATAATATTGGTCATTAATTAAATATCTTTGTTGAAAAGTATCAGTGTTAACAATGTTGAAATGATCAACATTTTGGGTGAACCATTGATAGTTGATTGCAGATAAATCTAAACCACTGTCGATTTTTTGGGTACGTAATGGTCTTCTGAGATCTCTGTGTGCATTGAAGCCTCTTTTGGCATCAATTGAGTTTATTAATCCTAATAAAACTAACACTAAAATAAAAATTGATTTATTCATTTTTATTTTAATAAATATATATTTGTTGTTTTTAACTAAATGAAAAAAAAAAAAAAAAAAAAAATTTAAAAAAAGAAAAAAAAAAAAAACTTTTATTTTTTTTTAATTTTTTTTTTAATTTTTTTTAAAAAAATCATTTAAAGAATTATCTTACCCTTTTTCACATTCTTTGGATGAATTTCAAACGACACTACAAAAATAACGAATTGATATCCCATATTTATTTTAGATATTTATTTACAATCCGTCCCAATATTGAAATTTTTTTTTTTTTTTTTTCTTTTTTTTTTTTTTTTTTTTTAATTTTTCGTATTTGTTTGTGTAAAAACCAAAAACCAAAAAAAAAAAAAAAACCAAAAGATATTATTTATTTTTTTAATTTTTTTAATTTTTTATTTTTTTAATTTTTTCGTTTTATTTTATTTTATTTTATTTTGTTTTATTTTATATCTATAATATAATAATAATAATAATAATAACATATGTTATAATAGTGTTTTATTTCAAAATGGATATTTATAAATTCGATGACTTGTTTTTTTTAGTTTATCGTAATAAATATTTAAGAAATAAAATATTTAATTCAATAAAAGAAATCAATAGAGAATTATATTATTTCACCTATGATTACTTTAATATTCCATTAGAAGTTATAATAAATAATAATAATAAACAATTATTAATAGAAAAATTAAAATTACACGAAAAATATTTTTACAATGATCATAGTAATAATAATAATAATTTAAATAAAAATCAAAAACAAAATAATAGTTGCCATAGAAAAAATAATAAAGAATTATATAAATATTATTTCGAGATTAATAACAATAATGATGATATTGAAAAATTGGTAAATTGGAAACTATTTGATTTCGAGTTATATCAGTTAATAAATAAATTATATCCAAATGTAATTTTCAGACACAATAATATTATATCAGATATATTTTCAAGTGCCAAATTAGAAATTTTTAAAGATTTGGAATTAAAAATAGATGATTTTGTATTTTCAAGTTTTTTCAACAACTATTATTTCAACATTTCAAGATGTGCATCAAAAGAGAGCATCATAGAGATGTACCAATATATCAAAAAGAAATATGGCCAGTTTGAAAGTTGCATAATATTTGAACTGTTAATTGATATAGTAAAAGAAAAGAAAACTACCCAATATATAGATTTAATAAAGTATTTTTTAATAGAATTAAAATTCAGAGGTAATTATTCACATAAATAATAATAATAATAATAATACATATTTTATACGTAATAATAATAATAATAATACTAATATTATTGTATTGTTATTTTTATTAGAGGAGCCTTATAGATCAAATGATTACTCATTTAATGGATTACTATCATACTCTATAATTAATAATGATTTGGATATGATAAAGTTGTTTTTTGAACAGTTTGACGTTACAAATAGTGATACTCACTCCAGCCGTGGGTATATCGAATTGTATGGGTACAGGGTTCCAATAGCGCAAATTCAAAACATACAAATTTTAGATTTATTTTCAAGTAGTTTGGTTGATTTTGTTAAATCAGTTGTAAAATATTCGAAAATTGGGAATTTACCACAACATGTTAGATTGGTAGTAAGAAATGTTCAGGTTTTAGAGTACTTATATTCAATTAACTTTCCAACAGAGCAGCTCTATGTTAGTCAAGTGTGCTTAAATGAAGATTTATCAAATTTGAATTTATTTGAAAATAGAGAGGACTTAAAGTGGCTAAATAATGAAGATGTTTCAAATCATTTAAAATTCGATTATTTAATCCAACATATCAACTATGATGGGTACATATACAGGGGTTCTTTCAATGGGGATTTAGAGTATTTAAAAAAGTATTTCTCGATCATAGGCGACATCTCTTACTCCACATTGAAAAGTACTGTGGAGCTGGGGTACGACGAAATGGCACTTTTCATATTAAATCAATTTCCAACGGGTATTAAATGGTCACAAGAACATCTATTAGAGTTACTATGTAAAACTGATAATATCCAAATAGTGGACACTGTTTTAAAGCTAATGGGTGATATTTCATCCATTAATTTCATAAGTTGTATCGAGAGTAAACCCAAGTTTTTTGAAAAGGATTTTGAAAAGAGGAAATTATTAATTAAAAGACTCTGTAGAATACCCTGTTTAATCAAGCATTATATCAGTCAAATAAACAACATATATCATCCAAAATCACCATTAGTTTCATTTTTAAAATCAAATTTCAATCCATATCATCAACACCAAAGCAACCTTATACAACCATCACTCCCATTGGTTTCAAACCAATCTTTAATATACGACTTACACAAATTCCAGCTATCGCCAATAATTATGAATTTTTTTAAAGTTAATAAATTTAATAGAAAACAACTAAAAGATATTTTATCAAGGGTTTCAAATAAGATTTTATTATATCTTTTCGAAAAGAATATAATAGCAATCAATTTAATTAAAAAGTTAATCAAAATAGCCATTCATACATCAAATACATTAATAATCAATTTATTATTAATGAGAGGAAATCAATCATTTAAAAATTATAATTTATTCAATTTAAAAAATCAACATCCATTACAACATCAACAAATTTCAAATTACTATAATGAAATTCATTATTTAATTGTTTATTATTCCTATATGGATTTTGAAGGTAGTGGTACAGGTAGAAATTTATCAATAATTAATTATTTAGTAAATGAAAATTATATTTTTAAAAATAGTAATAAAAGCAATAGTAATAATAGTATTATCAATATAGAAAATAATAATTTAATAATAAAAAATAGCAATATTAATCAAATAGAGGGTAGTAATGATAATAATGATTTTTTTTTCTATCAAGATCATAGTTTAATTACTATAAATAACAGTGTTTTAAATAATTCAATCAATCAAGAAACCAAAACATTTTTAAGTAATGTCGGTCTATTGGATTTATATTCAAATAAAAATAAAAGACTCAGGTACAAATAAAATGGGACACCAATTCCTTTTTTATTTTTTTTTTTTTTAATTTTAAAAAATTTAAATTTTTTTAATTTTATTTATTTTTTTTTTTTTTTTTAATTTCTTTTATTTTTTTTACAAACTGCACAATGAACGAATCTTTTTTTTTAGTTTATCGTAATTTATATTTAAGAAATAAAATATTTAATTATATTATAGAAACCAATAAAGAATTACATTATTTCACCTATGATTATTATAGCATACCAATAGAAATAGTAATAAAAAATAAATCACTTTTAATAGATAAAATAAAATTACATAAAAAATATTTTGGTGATAATCAAAATATCAATAAAATAACCAATAAAGAAAACTATAAATGTTTTTTAAATTTAGACGAATTACTTTTACCAAACCGAAAAAATTTGTGTGACCAATTATTTAAATGGAAGGAATTTGATGTGGAGTTGCTAGAATTAGTAGACCAAACATTCCCAGGTTTTATTGATTATAAAGAATCCTATCTAACAGAAGCCATTAGAAATGTAAATTTGCAACTATTTAAAGAACTTGAAAATAAATTTCCAATTAAACATATAGAAATAGTTCAATCATTTGGTTTTGAATTAAAAGAGAAAACTAAAGAGGAAATTATAGAGTTTTATATTTATATTAAAGAAAATTATCCATCCGCCATCAACATTGTTTCAATCGATAAACTCGCAATAGATATTATTCTTGAATGCAGATCAAATGAATTGGGTGAATTTATAATTTCGGAATATATTCGATATGAAAGTAAGTATCATTTAAAACTATTTTAAAGTTAAAGTTTAAATATTAATTTTTAAAACTATTGTTTTTATAAAGAATCATTTATCAATGGCATATATTTTAAAAAACTATTTTATAAATCAATAGATTGTAATGATTTTACAATGTTATCATTAATATTATCCACTTTGCAAAATAATAGAACTGATAATGATAGCTTTTTAGAAATATATGGTTTCAAAATTAATAAAAATGAAATTAAAGAATTATCTTGGGTAAGAGAACTATTTCAAACCAAATTTATAGATCTATTCAAAACTATATTTAAATATACAACAAAACCCAAAAACAGCCCAAAAATTAAAATATTAAGACCAGAAATCGCAGAGTATTTAATAACACACAGTTATCCTTTGGATTTTTTTTACTTTACACAGTCATGCGTGGAGGACGACTTATCAAATATTCATCTCTTTAATGATAGAAATGATATTGGTTGGGTATTGGATGATTACCCCACATCATTACTAAAGTATGAATATTTTATCAGAGGATCAGGGTCAAGTACTTATTGTTTCAAAGGCTCTTTAAATGGTGATTTAGAATACTTAAAAAAACATGTTTTATATTGTTCCAGTTATAGAAAAGTCTCAGTCTCAACATTAAAAAGTGCCGCTAAAAATGGTTATCAAGAAATGGTGGAATACATTCTAGAGAATCACTTTTCAGAACATTGGAGTATTTTGGATGTAATTCAGGTTTTATCATTTATCAGCACCGAGTCTATAATCAAAATTTTGTCAAAGCTAATCGATAACAAAAAGTTTACAATAGATTACAATTTGCTTTTAAACACAAAAAACTCCATTTTTATTAGCAACTATGATGACAGAAAGATATTAATTAACTGTTTATATAAATTACCAAATTTTTTAAACTCTTTTATCCATCACATCAACACCAGATACGAAAAAAAATCACCACTATCAATATTTTTAAAAATTAATTTTAATCCAGTTTACATCGATACTGAAATAATATCTGCCAATCTTCGACTCAATCAAATATTACCCGAATATGGTTTTTCAAATTACCTCAAAGAGTTTTTTTTAGAAAATAAATCAAAAAAAAATATAGAAAAACAATTTTCGCAATATCTTTGTTACTCAATAATAAATAAATGCAATTTCAACTATATTTTCTCTATACTAAATTTAAATACAATTAGAAACACAAGGCTTTTGGATCTATCAATAAAATCTTCAAATAAAATTATTGAAAATTTTTTAAAACAATAAAAAAATATCCAGATGAACCATATTTAATTTAATTTGTTTATTTATTATATAACATTGGTGTTTTTATTATTTTCTTTTTAAATTTATTTTTATTCAAAAAAAAAATTTAAAAATCCATTAGATTTTTTTTTTTTTTTTTAAAGTGAAGATGATTCTTTATGGTGTATTAAGTCATCAGTTTATTGTGTTTTTTGTTTGGTATGTGTTTAATGCTTATTTTTTTTTTTTTTTTTTTTTAAAAGTGAAGATAATTAAAAGCAAATGCTTTAAATTAATCAGTAAAATTTTATTTAATGTTTTTTAATGCTTATATGAGTTTTACCACACTGCATACAAGTTGGGCACGGTATTTTTTTTTTTTTTTTTGTTTTTTTAAAAGTGAAGATGATTCTTAATGATATATTAAGTCATCAGTTTATTGTGTTTGGTATGTGTTTAATGCTTATATGAGTTTTACCACACTGCATACAAGTTGGGCACGGTAACGTCAATTCGTGTGTGATTCGGAAAATCTGCGGAGACGGCACGGTAATGCCATTAGATCTTAGTAACTTACACAAAACCCATTAAAAAAAGTCACGAAAATCATCAGGAAGATTTTATAATAAAAAAATTGGAGAAGAAGGGTATCGATCCCTTTACCTCTCGCATGCTAAGCGAGCGCTCTACCATCTGAGCTACATCCCCGAATATGAGATTGTATCAGAGAGCTGACCAAAAAATTTGGAGCATGCTTATTTCTTCAAATAAACACCTCAAAAAAAGATAGAGAATAACTAGTAATACAAATTCAACAAAAGCCATCAGACAGCTGCTCAAAGTATACTAGAAGAATATGTGTTCTTATGATTCTTTTTTGGGTAGAACGGGCATTGGGATTCAAAACTTATTTTCTGATGATCATATTCAGCTGAATTTATTCCCTAGAATTCTTTAAAATCTTATACACTACCATCTCCTTTGAGAATGAGATATAATTGGTGGTGAATTGCTGAAGCATATTGTTTGTTGCTTAAATCATTGTTCAATTTGAAGGTTTTTATTGGATAGTTTTTTCCTAGATTAAAAATTATTATTTTTTAACTTTGAAGATTTTATTCAAAATAAAAAAATTTATATAAAAAAGATAATATAAAATAAAAAAAACTAAAAATAAAAAAATGACTTCTATTTTGTTTTTTTGACTGTATATTTAAAATATAATATTGTAATTATAGAGGAGGTGTGTTTATAAACATCATCACCTAATAAATATAGTATTATAATATTAACTTTCTTTTTAATTGATTTTGAAAGGAAAAAAATATTATAATGAATAATTTAAAATGAAAATAATAAAAAAATTTAAAAAAAAAAAGAGCATATTAATTGAAAAAAAAATAAAATCATTAAAAAAAAAATATAAAAAAAAAGTTCGATTAATTGATTTTTTTTTTGGCAAAAAAAATTATTTTTTTTAATTTTTTGCTGTCCTTGTGCCCATGTGTGCATTTTTTTTTAAAAAAAAATTCAATTTTTTTCTGTGTTGCTTCTTTTCTTGCAAAATTTTTTTATAAAAGACAGTTATTTTTTTTTTTTTGTATGATTATTATTTTAAATTTGATGTATTTTTTTTTTAATAATTTTTTTTTTTTTATAATTTTTTTTTTTTTAAATTTTTTCATTTGAAAACCCTAAAATATAATATTTGTGCTTTATTTATACATGTGTTGATATTTATATTCAATAATAACTAATTTCGAATAAAAAAAGGTCACACTCTAATTTTATTTATTTAATTTTATTTATTTAATTTAGGTTATTTAATTTAGGTTTTTTAATTTTTGTTATTTAATTTTGAATTATTTTTTTTTTGTTGTTCATCTTTATTTTCGCTCTAAATATATCTTTGTTCCAAGTTTTGCTAAATTTCATTAACTATCTTCCTTATGTGGTGTATCTGGCTAGCCATCTAGAAAACTTTATATCAACAATTTCTGAACAAATATGGTATGAACACTCCACCTTAGAACTAACGTATGGAAAATTACTCAAGAGGTTCATGTAGATCTGGGCATGGGAAATAGAAGTTAAAAGCATTAAAAAGATATATAGGAAACTTCAACACCTATAGTATACCGAGTTTTATTTTTAGTAGTAAACTGCATAATTTTGACTTTTTCCATCAATTAGAATAAAATAAAAGTTAACATAACTTTTATTAATTTACTTTTAATTTTTTTAGTTATTTAATATTGGTTACTTAATTTTGGTTTTTTAATTTTTGTTATTTAATTTATATGTTATTTGTAACTCATCGATAACTTTCTGTAGCTTTCCATCTTCAACTTTTTTTTTTCCCATATGATTCCAAAACTACAACAAAAGATGAAAATATTAATTATAAAAATAATTTTAACATAAATAATTATTAAATATCATCACCATCCTTAGAATCTGAGAATGATTTCCATCATTATCTTCATAAAAAAAAAGAAATTTTAAAAAATATCTTAAAAAAAAAATAAAAAAAAAAAGTTATTTATATTTTATTAAATTTTATCGTATTTTAGGGTATTTATTGTGTACCTTAAACTATTTATTGTGTAGCTTGTTTATTTTATTTTTCTTTGATAATCAAAAAAAAAACATTTATTGGTGTAACATCAAACCCCATTATTTATTTTTATATTTTTAATTTAATTTTTTTTTAATTTTTTTTAATTTTTTTAAAAACTTTTTTCTTTTTTAAATCAAATTAACGTGCTTGTATTTTTTTTTAAATTTCAATTTGGATATTCCCCATCAGTTTTTAAACCATATCTTCTTTACACTTGAAAACACAGGAATTATTGTGTTTTTAATTATAGTTTCGTATTTTAAAGAGCGATCTTTTTATAATAAAAAAAGATTATTAGTTAATAATTATGATAATTACAAACTTTAGTTTTAAACCTTTTGAGTGTGGATAATGGTCTTTTTTCTTAATAAAAAAAAAAATATAAATTCAATAGTTTTATTTTTTTTTTTTTCTTTTCATTCAATTATATTTAAACTTTTTTGTTGTATTATTATTTGTATATAATTCCTGCATATATAAATTTGTAAAAATTAAAAATGAAATATATTAATTATTTTATATTGCATATTATTTTCTTTGTATTAGTAATAAATATTGTAAAATCTCAAAATAGTAAGTTTTTCATAAAATAAAAAAATAAATAAATGATCAATATTAATATTATATTTATTATATTTTATTTAGCGATAATTTTGAGTGGTACTATTTATGACCATCATCCAAGGTATAATCCTAATTTCCAAACACCCATAAGTCATGGACTGGTAAAAAATTTGGTTAAACCAGTATTAAATCCAGTTACTCGTGTTCCAGAATTAAATTCTTTAGACCCCTCATCAACAGCAAATTTTTATGGTGATATGGTAAACCCAGGATTATTCCAATATTTCTTTTCACCAAACAATAATGTTTCTTCACCAGGTTATAACATCCCTATCCCAATTAGCTTACCATTAACTTTAAATAAAGATAATGGTACTTATACTTTTGATAATCAAAATTTCTTCCCAAGTAAGTATATATAATAAATTTAAATTTAATTAAATAATTTTATATTAATATTATGATATTTATTTTATATTAAAATTAGTTGATAATCAAGGTATTGATGTTGATCCATCCAAAAGGTTATATAAAGATGCTAAAGGTGTATATCACAACTACCATTTCTGTTTAAAGATTAACTCAAATTTCTTATTTAATGGTAGCGAAATGTTTAGTTTTGTTGGTGATGACGACTTTTTTGTTTTCATTGACAATAAGCTTGTCATTGATTTAGGCGGTGTACACTCTGCCGAGTCAGCAAGTGTTAATTTAAATACATTGGGTTTAACAAAAGGCAAAGTTTATCCAATCGATTTCTTTTATTGTGAAAGACATACATCAAAATCAACAATTAGATTTAATACCAATATTTTAATGACCTGTAAATTCATTGATTATTGTGGTGTTTGTAATGGTGATGGTACCAGCTGTTGTAATCCTCAAACCACCTGTAACGATAATAATCCATGTACAATCGACCAATGTCCTCTTCCATATACTAAGATCAACGGTTCAATTTCAGATTACTGTTATCACCATCCAAAGGAATTATATAATCCAAGTAATAAGTGTTTTACCCATCAATGCAATATTACTACTGGTAATATCGATGCTTTTCCAATTCCATGTTTAGATTTATCAAAAGACTGTTTAAAGAGTAAAGCTTGTAACACGTCCACTGGTTGTCAATACGAATCAGCATGTACTGATGTTTGTCATATTGAGAATCAATGTATCAATGGAAAATGTGAAGTTAAATCTTCTGATTATTGTGCTATTCAATTAGATGGTGATAAGGTTGATATTTGCTCCGTATATTCATGCGATTCAAGTCAAGGTGGTTGCATTAAACAAGAAAAATGTCAACAAGGTTCCAATAAATGTATAGTTACTTCATGTGATTCTGAAAATGGTAATTGCATAGTTGAAAATGTTCCAAATCCAAATGCAAATGATTCTTGCATAATTTCAATATGCAACCCAGACACTGGTTTATATTCATCATCACCACTTCAATGCCCAGATAGATCCAATGAATGTTTAACATTAGTAGGTTGTAACCCAACTACAGGCTGCGAATATGAAACATTCTGTAAAGGAGTTTGTGATGCCAAAGATCAATGTAACAATGGAGAGTGTGTTACCAAAACCCCAGAGTATTGTGCAAATGAATTAGATGGTGACAATGTAGATTTATGTGCAGTTTACTCATGTGACTTAAATGGTTGTGGCTGTCTAAAAGATGAGAAATGTAAAAGAAATACTACAAACCCATGTATCGAAACATCTTGTAAAGCATCTACTGGTGAATGTTTTGAAATCGAAATTCCAGGTGACATGTGTGATTGTGGTTGTGACATTAAAAACAAATGTATGAGATCACATTGCACTAAAGAAGGTAAGTGCTCACCCGTATTTATAGCAGAAATTGATGATGGTAATACTTGCACTGATGATTATTGCGATCCATGTACTGGTTTAATTACTCATACCACTGCCTCAAAATGTTTAAATTGCAACTCTTGTTAAAAAAAGATAAACTAAAAAAAATACAATAAAATAGAATAATTATTCATAAGGTTTTAATTTTAAAAATTCATTTTTAAAATTAAAACCAAAATTATTTATTTATTTATATTAAAATTAAACTACAATTAATATTACTAATATTAATAAACCTATTGGAACACTTTTTGATTTCTGATGAAATTTATTATTTTCAATATTTTGATGATTAATTATATCATTGGTTCTTTTTGTTATAAGGGATTAGCCGATATAAATAATAGTTTCTTGATAAATACTAGAGATTAAAAATTATCGTTATCGTATTCATTTTTCGATTTTATAACAAAAATTATCTCTTTTTTTAGCTTTTTTTTAAAAAAATTATTCATTTTTATTCATTTTATAAAATTTGCTGATTGAGCCAAAATAACAGCAGAAACATGCACATCACAATTTTTTCCTTTTCTGCCATTTTTTTTAAATTGAGGATAACGATAATTTTTAATCTCTATTTTTATATAAAAGTTATTTCTATATATTATAATAATTTGTTCAATTTCTATTTGTTATTTGATTGTCATTATAAAAAATAAAAAAATAAAAAAAAATAAAAAATAAAAAAAAAATTTTAAAAAAAAAAATAAAAAAAAAATAAATAAAACCACACACAATGGGGGTTGAGATTCATACATTTATTATATTATTATTATTATAAAATATGTAAATGGATATGACACATTGCAATTATATATATAAAACAGGATATATATTTCAATTTTTTTTTTACATTAAATGTTTTTTTAATAATTTTTTAAATTAAATTTTTTACCTCAAATAATGATAAATCATTTAACCTTTAAAAAAATTTTTATTGTGTTTAATCACAGGTAAATTTAATTTTAATCTCTAAACTCAAAGAAAAGTATAACTAATTTTTATTTATATAAAAACTTTAAAAAAATTTTTAAATAATAGCAATTATATTATCACATTCCATTAAAATTTTTCATTTTTTTATTATTCACTCTTAAAATAGAAAAAATGTTAGATTCATTATTAGTTGAAATTTTTATTTGGTCATTAATAATTTTAAAATATATTTTCCGTTCCACCCACAAGAAACCCACACCAACAGCAACACCCACACCAAAAACCAAACTAACACCAACCACACAACTAATCAAACCACATATCCAAACCCACAACAAACCCACATCGAAAACCACCAAATTAACCAAGCCACACCAATTGATCAATCCCCAACTCAAAAAAATATGAATAACGGTTCCCCACTCATTTATTCATCCTCTCTCAAAAAAATGCATTGTTCCCAATCAGAAGACTTTTTCCCATCACCAGAAGATATTTTTGGTCGTTCCCCATTAGCCCAAGAAATTTTATCAAATTACCCTCTTGAAAAACTTAGTACCCAAAAGGAGCCATCACAACCACAAGATCCATTTCCATACATCCCTATCGATCATTCTAAAGGCTCCAAACCAAAACTCCGTCTTTGTAATACAAGAAGTCATTTAGGACCAGAAAGTGGTTATAAAATTAAAATTTCACATATCCGGCTTTGGCGCAATGGTAGCGCGATTGACTGTAGTAATTTTCCTGTTATCAATCGGTTGCTAGTTCGAGTCTGGCAAGCCGGAATTTTTTAATTAGGTTCTATCTTTTGGGAGTTTATTTTTTAAGTGGTTGAAACATCTTCACTTTTAAAAAAAAAAAAAAAATTTAAGTGGGTGAAAATCTATATTCCAGACATATCGACCCAATTACCCACCAAAACATTCTCAAAAATTGGAAAATATCTAAAAATTTTGACTTTATAAAAGAAAAAATTCAAGCAATAAATTTTAAAAAAAAAAACTTCAATTTTTAACCTGTAACAAAACTAAAAGTATCTTAACTTGATTGAATGAGATATAATTGATGGTGAATAGCTGAAGCTTATTGATTGTTGCTTAAATCATTGTAAAATTTGAAAGTTTTTATTGGATATGCTTTTTTTTGAGAAAAAAAATAAAAATTTAAAAAAAAAAAAAAAGTTTGATTTTTTTTTTTTTTTAATTTTTTGTTGTGTGCCACGTTCGATTTTTTTTTTAAAAAAAATCAATTACACACCATTGTGCTTCTTTTCTTGCGATTTTTTAATGATTTTGTTTAAATGAAAGAGTGGTTATTTTTTTTTTTTTATTTTTTTTTAATTTTTTTCATTATTATATTTTTTTTTCAAAAATTGTAATGTATTATCATCAAAATTCACTTAATTAATTAATTATAACTTAAATAGTCATTTAATCAAACAATTATAGTAATTAATAATTTTAATAATTAAAAATAATTTAAATTTAAAAATAAAAAAATAAAAAAATAAAATAAAAAATTTTCGAATTTTTTCGTTTTATTCAATTTTCTCATAAACTTAAAAATCATATAATTTATTATCCTTATTTTTATTGTTTATTAATTATTTATTTATACTTTAAAGTTCATTTACATTACAAAATTTCTATTAATATTTATGCTTTATTTATACATGTGTTGATATTTAATAAATTAAAAACTATTTTAGAACAAAAAAAAGGTCAAAACCATTTTTTTTTTAATAATTGTTAGCTCTAATTTTGTTTATTAAGTTATTTTGGTTTTTAATTTTATTTATTTAATTTAGCTTATTTAATTTTACTATTTTTTTGTTGTACATCTATATTATTTGAACTTTCTGGGTGTATCAGTATTTTCACTCAATATATCCGAGTTTCAAGTTTTGCCAAATTTCTTTAACTTGTTTACTATCTTCCTTACGCTGTGTCTCTGTGTAACAGGATCTAGGTGATGAAGTTTCTTATATATATTTTTAACTTCTCTTTCCCATGCAGATGCCCAGATTTACTTGAATCTCTTTCATACTTTAGTTTGTAAGTGGAGTGTTCATGTAATATTTGTTCAGAAATTGTTGATATTAAGTTCGAATGTTTTTCTAGAGTAAGTTGAGACTTTATTTTAATAGTTAGCCACTTATTTAATTTTGGTAACTTAGTTTTGGTTATTTAATTTTGATTGATTTATTTTTGATATTTAATTTTTATGTTATTTGTAATTCATCAATATCGTTCTGTAGCTTTCCATCTTCCACATTACCAAATAAAATTTCTTTTGCCAATATGATTTCAAAACAAAATGAAAAATATAAATAATAAAAATAATTTTAACATAAATAATTATAATTAAACATCATCACCATCTTTAGAATCGGAAAAATGATTTCCATTCTTATCATCAAAAAAAGAAATTTAAATTATATCGAAAAAATAAAAAAATAAAAAAATTTATATTTTATTATATTTAATGGTATTTTATTGTGTAGCTTAAATTATTTATGGTGTAGCTTATTTATTTTATTTTAGGGTATTTATTGTGTAGCTTAAACTATTTATGGTGTAGCTTATTTATTTTATTTTTCTTTGATAATCAAAAAAAAAAACACTTATTGGTGTAACATCAAACCCCATTATTTATTTTTTATATTTTTTATTTATTTTTTTTTAATTTTTTTTAATTTTTTTTAAAACTTTTTTTTTTTTTAAATCAAACTTTTAAAATAACCTACTTGTATTTTTTTTTTAAATTTCAGTTTAGGTATACCCCATCAGTTTTTAAACCATATCTTCTTTACACTTGAAAACACAGGAATTATTGTGTTTTTAATTATAGTTTCGTATTTTAAAGAGCGATCTTTTTATAATAAAAAAAGATTATTAGTTAATAATTATGATAATTATGATAATCACAAGCTAATAGTTTTAAACCTTTTGAGTGTGGATAATGGTTTTTTTTTTTATAAAAAAAAAATATAAATTCAATAGTTTTATTTTTTTTTTCCTTTCATTCAATTATATTTAAACTTTTTTGTTGTATTATTATTTGTATATAATTCCTGCATATATAAATTTGTAAAAATTAAAAATGAAATATATTAATTATTTTATATTGCATATTATTTTCTTTGTATTAGTAATAAATATTGTAAAATCTCAAAATAGTAAGTTTTTCATAAAATAAAAAAATAAATAAATGATCAATATTAATATTATATTTATTATATTTTATTTAGCGATAATTTTGAGTGGTACTATTTATGACCATCATCCAAGGTATAATCCTAATTTCCAAACACCTACTAGTGGTGGACTGGTAAGAAATTTGGTTAAACCAGTATTAAATCCAGTTACTCGTGTTCCAGAATTAAATTCTTTAAACCCCTCAACACCAACAAATATTCAAGGTAGAATGGTAAACCCAGAATTATTCCAATATTTCTTTTCACCAAACAATAATGCTTCTTCACCAGGTTATAACATCCCAATCCCAATTAACTTAACATTAGCTTTTAGTCCAAGTAGTGGCACTTATTCTTTTGATAATCAAAATTTCTTCCCAAGTAAGTATATATAATAAATTTAAATTTAATTAAATATAATTTAATATTAATATTATGATATTTATTTTATATTAAAATTAGTTGATAATAAAGGTTTTGATGTTGATCCATCCTATAAGTTATATAAAGATACTTATGGTTTATATCACAACTACCATTTCTGTTTAAAGATTAACTCAAATTTCTTATTTAAAGGTAGCGAAATGTTTAGTTTTGTTGGTGATGATGACTTTTTTGTTTTCATTGACAATAAGCTTGTCATTGATTTAGGCGGTGTACACGCTGCCGAGTCAGCAAGTGTTGATTTAAATAAATTGGGTTTAACAAAAGGCAAAGTTTATCCAATCGATTTCTTTTATTGTGAAAGACATACATCAAAATCAACAATTAGATTTAATACCAATATTTTAATGACCTGTAATTACTATGATTATTGTGGTATTTGTAATGGTGATGGTACCAGCTGTTGTAATCCTCAAACCACCTGTAACGATAATAATCCATGTACAATCGACCAATGTCCTTCCCCAACTACTAAGATCAACGGTTCAATTTCAAATTACTGTACTCACACTCCTAAGGAATCATCTCTTCCATCTGACAATATCTGTTTTACCAAACAATGCAATGTTACTACTGGTAATATCGATAGTTTTCCAATTCCATGTTTAGATTTATCAAATGACTGTTTAAAGAGTAAAGGTTGTAACTCGACCACAGGTTGCCAATACGAATCAGCATGTACTGATGTTTGTCATATTGAGAATCAATGTATCAATGGAACATGTGAAGTTAAATCATCCGACTATTGTGCTATTGAATTAGATGGTGATAATGTTGATATTTGCTCCGTATATTCATGCGATTCAAGTCAAGGTGGTTGCGTTAAACAAGAAAAATGTCAACAAGGTTCCAATAAATGTTTAATTACTTGATGTGATTCTGAAAATGGTAATTGCATAGTTGAAAATGTTCCAAATCCAAATGCAAATGATTCTTGCATAATTTCAATATGCAACCCAGACACTGGTTTATATTCATCATCACCACTTCAATGCCCAGATAGATCCAATGAATGTTTAACATTAGTAGGTTGTAACCCAACTACAGGTTGCGAATATGAAACATTCTGTAAAGGAGCTTGTGATGCCAAAGATCAATGTAACAACGGAACATGTGTTGCCAAAACACCAGAGTATTGTGCAAATGAATTAGATGGTGACAATGTAGATTTATGTGCAGTTTACTCATGTGACTTAAATGGTTGTGGCTGTCTAAAAGATGAGAAATGTAAAAGAAATACTACAAACCCATGTATCGAAACATCATGTAAAGCATCTACTGGTGAATGTTTTGAAATCGAAATTCCAGGTGACATGTGTGATTGTGGTTGTGACATTAAAAACAAATGTATGAGATCACATTGCACTAAAGAAGGTAAGTGCTCACCCGTATTTAGAGAAGAAATTGATGATGGTAATACTTGTACTGATGATTATTGCGATCCATGTACTGGTTTAATTACTCATGCTACTGCATCAAAATGTTTAAATTGCAACTCTTGTTAAAAAAAAAAGATAAATTAAAAATAACAATAAAATATAATAATTATTCGGTTGGTTTTAATTTTAAAAATTAAATTTGAATTTATAAAATAAATAAATAAATTTTTAAAAAAAATAAAAAAATAAAAAATAATAAAACATAAAACATTTCATATAAATTTTATTTTTTTTAATTATTTGATCTTAGTACCTTACACATTGATTAATTGAGTGACTCTGGTATCAACTATATTTTATAAGATTAGTTACAATTACAAAAATGAAATAGGAAAGAAGTTTAAAATAACTAATTTTTATAATTACCCTATATAATAATTTATTATTAATATTTATTTTTTACTCTTAATACAAAATTATTTTCGACCAACCAAACAAATCATTACAACACTAAATATACCACACTAAATATACCACACTTTGTACCCACACTGAAATTCTAAAAACATACCCCACTATTTATATTATGAGTTTTTTTTTATTAAAATTAATTTTTTTTTTTTTTTAATTTCTTTTTATTTTTTTTTTTATTATTTTTTTAATATAATATATATTTTTGAAATATCTATTTTTTATTTAGTTTTTATTTTCATATAAATTAATAATTTTTTTTAGAAAAATGGATAAGAAAATATTATATATTTTCATTTTTGGAATTATTTTAATATCATTTGTTTCAACAGCATTATCATTAAATATAAACAATAATCAAATAAACAACGATAATGATAATTTAGAAGAATTTGCAAGTAATGAATGTCAAATTTGTGAATTGGTAGTAAAAGATGTCATTGACTGTTTAACTTCAAATATGTCAATTCATGAAATAGAAATTGGGGTAGATTTACTATGTTTCCGTGTAATGCCATTTCATTCAAAACCATGCAGAAACTTTATAAATTCAAACATTGAAAAGATTGTACAAATTATTGAAGATAATGGTGATCCAAATGAAGTATGTTCAAAAATTGGTGCATGTTCATCATCAGAGAATTTAGAAATTAAAAACAACATCAACCAAAATAACCATTATAATGAGAAGAATTATCATCAAATAAATAAATAATAAATTAATTATAATAACGCAAACATGCAAATAATTATATAGTTACAATTGTTAATTAGTATTTAAAAAATAAAAAAATAAAAAAATAAAAAAAAAAATAAATATTTTTTATATAAATAAAACTAATTATAAATTATTAAAGTTTAATAATTTAAATCTTTTATTTTGATTGTCTTTATATTTTAATTTTATATAGTCTATAAATAATTCTTTGATTGGACTAATTCTTTCTAACCTTTTGATAAAAAGTATTCGCTTTTCGTATGGTTTCGGAAAAAATGATTGGTTATCCATAAAAGCAAAATCTATTTGGCTTGATTCAGACTGTTTTAATTTCTCTTTGATTAAATTCCCAATAGTTTCGAAACCAGTTCTTAAATATAGTTTTATCAATGTCTCTAAATTCCAATAAAACTTATTAAACACAAGAAAGCTGTTTAAAAATGACTGATACTCTAACTGATCTTTACCGTTGTTGTATCTACCTAAAGAGAAAAGCTGATTTTCATTTAATTGTTCGAGTTGGGTATATTTTTCTGAATCTAAAAATTTATTGATATACATTGGACCTAAACAAACACCTTCATTGGCTAAAAATCTAAATTTTTCTTGATTTGTTATATCTTCAGTTATAACCCATTCAAAGTTCTTTTTATCTTTAAAAAAATCTATATTTGATAAGTCATCTCTTAGACAGTTTTGGGTCAGTTTGAATTTATCTTGAGAATCGATTTTTAAAACTGCAACAACTTCTTCACTATCTACAAGTAATCCTTTATTAATAATTAAATTGGTTGTAAATTGATAAACTCTATCTATTTTTGGATATTTTTCTTTAAACTTTTCTATAATTAATTTAAACATTTCATTATCATAGTATTCCAGTGATAATTGTAGCAATGAAAAAAAAGCCACTTTTTTTAAAATAAATATATTCATTAATTAGCATTTCATAAATAAATAAATAAATAAATAAATAAATAAATAAATAAATAAATAAATAAATAAATAAATAAATAAATAAATAAATAAATAAATAAATAAATAAATAAATAATAAATATACAATACCATCATTATTTATATTTAATCTATCTAAAAATAACGGAGCAAATTCTATAGTTTCTTTACTTGATATTATAGCTGATAAATTTAAAAATAAACAATCTTGATTTAAACCATCGTTATTTAAATATTTGGGATTTATAAAATCTAAAATCTCAATTATTTCATTTTTTGTACAATTTGTAAAATTAAATGAAAGTTGTGATATTTTTATTTCATAATTTACAATTATTTCTAATACTTTAAATAGATTTAGATTACCATTTTCCAATGTTTTTAATACTTGTTTTAATGAACATTCGATTATAAATGGATATACTTTATTTATTAACTTTAAAGATTCATAATCAAACTCTTTCCATTCGAATAGTTTATTTTGATTTTTTATAATATAAGCTAAATCATTATTATTATTATTATTATTATTATTATTATTATTATTATTATTATTATTATTATTATTATTACTATTGATTATTGAATCTAACTTTTTTATTAATACTTGTTTTTCATTATTGTATATTATTATATTATAGGGTATGTTATATAAATTATAAGTGTAATAATGAAGCTCTTTATTGATTTTTTTGATGAATTTAAATATTTTATCTCTTAAAAATATATTTCTATAAATAACTAAAAATAATTCCATAATTAAAAATAAAAAAATAAAAATAAATAAAAAAAATTAAAAAATTTTAATTTTTTTTTAATTTTTTTTTCATAATTTAATTCCTTTAAGCCTTTAGCACCAGAACATTCGGAAACATTGAGAACAATGCAGCAATCAATTTATTTTATAAAAAAAAATGTATAAATAAAACAATTTTTTATTTTTTTATTCATTCAATAAATTAAAATCAATTAAATAAATAAATAAATAAATAATATTAAATAAATAAATAAATTAAACTAAAAAATGTCAATAAGAGAAAATTTAGAAGCTGTTATTAAAGGTATTCAAGATTCAAAAATTTTAGAAGGTAATTATTATTTAAATAAATAAAAAAAACTATTTAAATTTATTAATTTCTTTGTTTCTTTATTTTTTTAAAATTATTAATAGTTTTTGATAAATACTATCATGATGACATTGTTATGTATGAAAAAGGTGATTCCACCAATCGTGTAGGTAAATCGGCCAATCGTAAAGCAGAAGAAGGATTTGTAGCCAATGCTGTTATATCAGAAGCCAAAGTATTAAAGATATTAGTCGATGGAAATAACACAGCTTATGAAATGCTTATGAAGTTTACCTATGCTGGCCATCCAGTCGAAAAAGTACAATGGTGTTTACAAGAATGGAAAGATGGTAAAATCATTAAAGAAGAATTCTATTAAATAAAAAAAAAAAATGTGATACTTAAAAAAAAGATAAAATAAAAAATAAAAAAGATAATATTAAAGAATAGTTTTTTTATTATTTTTTTCTTAAAAATTTAATACTAAATTATCGTTTGACTGAATTATGTTACTGTCATTTATGTAATAAGATTTGTTATAACCACTAAATAAATTTATATTTTTTAAAAATAAAATAGATTGGTCATTTAATAAATGAATTGGAATTATAAAATCTGATAAATAATTATTATTATTACTATTATTATTATTGCTTTTATAATTTTGGTCTAGTAAATATTTTATCATTTCAAATCTATTATTGATATATGAATAATATATGATTAAATGATGCACTAAATTTAAATAATCTGAAAATGAATTTAGATGGTGGCTGTAAAAGTTTTGTTGATATTTTGAATGTTGAGTTTTTTGTTTTAAAATTTGATTGTAAAAGTTGAAGTTCTTAAAATTGCCTATTGATAATATTAAATCGATAATAAATGTATTTTCGTGGAGTATTGATTTTTCCATTATAGATTTTATATCGAGTATTACTAAATCATCTTGAATTAAAAACAAAATTAGTTTTTGATTGACTTTTTCAATAATTGAACGGTAAAATATATAACCTATATTTTTTTTGTCTAGTTTTTTTTGAATAAAATGGTCCTTTACGTAATTTGATAAACCGTAGGTTTCTATACATTTCATTAGATTATGTTGGTTGATATTGAGGTTGATATGTGGATTAAATTTAAATTTGTGGAAAAGATTGATCGAATTTTGGAATTTTGAAAGATATTCTATCAGGGTTTCGATATATAATGGTACTTGTGAAATTTCTTTGAGGAATTTTTTTCTTTTTTCAAAATCAACTACGAATGGCTCTGGTTTAGAGAGGTCATCCCAATCAGAAAGATCCACTATATTCGAAAGTAACAAATGGACCTTTTTTTTGTTATATCTAAATTCTAAACTATTAAATATTTGAGTGGATGCCCATGTGGTATATTTTTTCCCAATTTCATTAATGATGTCAAAAGTTTCACTTGATAAACCTTTACTTTTTTTTTGAATTTTATCAAAGTAATTTCCAATCATTCTATTATAGTATCCTATAACAGTTCCAACTCTTTTCATATAGGCATACTTTTGATGATTAAGCTTTGTTGGGATCCAACTAATTTTTTTATCTTTAAATATGTCAGTATTTGATAGATCGTCATTTAAACATTGGTCAGTAAAATGCAGTTTTTGAATTGGGTAATTTTTTGAAAAAACAAACTTGGCCATCTCTTCACTTTTGATGTGAATGTAAAGACTCTTTTTTGAAAGTTCAATATTTGAGAATTCATATATTTGTTCAACAAAGTCTATTAATTTCGTATTGAATAGATAATCAGTTGAAATTTCCATAAATTCACTTTTAAAAATTTTATAATTATAAATTGTTATATATTGTTCTAATGATGAGGAATCTGATTCTTCAATAGTTTCTTTTTGATCCATTTTTGATAAAATCAACTTTATAATTTCTAAATTATTTGATGATAATGCTTCGATAAATAATAATTTAAAATTGTAATCTTTAAATGTGTCTATAAAAAAAGTTAAAATCAAAAGATTTTATTAATTAAAACACAAATAATAATAAATAAATAATAATAATACATACATTTAATTTCAGTTTCTTTTAAAAAAAACTCAAATAGTTCTTCTGATTTACTTTCATTTGCAATGCTTTTTAGTATTCGTTGGATGGTCTGTTGATTTGTTTGAAATGGGTATTTATTGGTTAAATAATCGTACATTTCTATAATCTCTTTGTTGGAACACTTGTTAATATTGAATGATATATCAGTATCGAATATTTGTATAAACTGTACTTTTTTCTCGATTTTTTTAAACAATTCTACATTTGCATTATTGATTGCATATTTTAAATGAACATTTTTGTATTCTATTACACCTGGAAACAACCTTTCCATTAACTCTAATATTTCTACATCAAATTCTTTCCATTGAAATAAAATATCACTTTCTAAATTATTAAATTCTAAATAATATTTAAATTTATCACTGTCATATTGTAAATTATTATTATTATTATTATTATTATTACTATTTATAAAATATTTTTCATATAGTTTTAATCTTGTTATGAGAAATTGCTTATTATTATTTTTTATTATTAGATCAAGTGGTGAGTAATAAAAATCGTATGTAAAGTAATGTAAGGATTTATTGATTTCTTTAATATAACCAAATATTTTATGAGTTAAATATACATTATGAAAAACTAATGAAATTGGATTTCTATCCATTTTATTTGATAGAAAAATTAATTTATTTATATCATAAAAAAAAAAAACTGATAAAATCTAAAATTTTATTTTTTTTTTTTTTTTTTTAAATTATTAATTTTTTTTCTTTTTTTTTTATCCATTTTATTTATCTGAATGCTTTTTTTAAATTTTTTCTGCTTTTAAAAATTTTCGTATTTTTTTCAATTTTTTTTTTCATTTTTATATCCTTCTCAAAGAATGGAATTGTGTATGATGTTTTAATAAAAAAAGATGAAAAAGTCCACAACAAATAAACCAGTGTTTTTATTTAAATAAAAAAACTGGTTTATTTGTTATGAACTCTATCATCTTTTTAGGACATCATATACGATTCCACTCTTTACTTTAATATTTTTAATTTTATTTTAAGAATAATATTTTATAATTTTACAAATTATTTTCCTTTTTTATCTTTTTTTTTATTTTACATTATCTATTTTTATCTATACTCAAAAATAATGACACATTACAATAAGTAGGTCTCTACAACTTAATAATGTTTTTTTTTTTAAAATCTAAACATTTTCTTACCGAAAAATCAAAGCTAAGGTGGGCAAAAGAGTACCAAAATTGGTGCCGGTCGTATATGTATTATCTGGTGTAACACAAATACTGCAAAATAGAGAGATAATACAGGGTTATAGAAGAGCTTTACGAGAAAAATCAAATTTATCTGGTGATATGTTTTTTTTACAATACAATTGCTCTATTCACATGATCCAATTATTGACCGATTTTTATGAAAAAATGAACATAGAGGTGATATTTATTCCACACTATTCACCAGATCTTAATATTATCGAGAATTTATGGTCAGTATTAAAACGTTTTAACTTGATTTCTATCAGGTACCCACTTTATTGATTGGTAGAATTTGGAAAAATATTAATCAAGAAATATTTGATAATCTTTATGAATCAATCCCAAGAAGAATACAACAAATAAATCAGAATAAGGGTGGATTCACAAAAACAAACCATTAAAAAAAAAATTTCAAATAAAAAATGGAATTCAGATATAATAAAAAATTAAATGAATTAATAAATAAATAAATAAATAAATAAATAAATAAATAAATAAATAAATAAATAAATAAATAAAAAATAAATAAATAAATTAATAAATTAATAAATAAATAAATAAATAAATAAATAAATAAATAAATAAATTAATATGTGTAAATACTTTTTTTTTCAATATACAAAGTATTGTCTTTTATATTAATTAAAATTTTTAAATATAATAATGACACCATCATTGAAACAATAACAAATTTTTTTGATTGTGTTTCAAACACAAAACCAAATATGATTTATTTATTAGGTTATGTTTTTTTATTTATTATAATAAAAAAATTTATAAAAAATCACCACACTATTATTTAAATAATAAATAGTATTTCTCTCAGTAATAAAATAAAAAAAAAAGTTTTGTTTAAAAAATATATTAAATGTAATAAAAAACAAATTTTTTTTTTTTTTTATTTTTTTAAATTTTTTTTTTTAATCCTAACTATAATTTAAAGTTCAATATAAAGTTTTTTTTTTAAAATAATATTTATTAAATTCAAGCTATATCAATCAAAGTAATTTGTATTTATAAAGTTTAAATTTAATTATTTCCATTTCTTATTTCAACCTTCAACTTTCACTCTCTTTTTGTTAACAAATAAATTAAAAAATGGGAATTTTTTTTAAAAAAGTAAGTATCTCTTATTAAATATACATTAAAAAAAATAAGAAATAAATATTAATTATAGTTTTATTTATAATCAGAACAACACCATTGAAAATTTTTTAACTATGGATTCCAAAATTTCAAAGATGCAATCCAAAATTAAAGCCTCAAAAGATTTTCATTATGGCATTTATTCAAAAGTTATTTTCTTTAGCATTATTATCGAAATTTTTTTATTATCAATTTCATATGCCAAATCTCTTTCATGCAACACTTTGGTAGATAACGCATTGTGTTATGTTAATTCTGTAGTATTCTCAATTATGTAAGTTGTTCATTTTAAATATATATTTTATTTTTTATAAAATATTGGTATTAACATTTATCATTTTAGAATTTATATCACCATTAAATTATATAGATTTTTATTTAGAACTTTAATAAAATATTACAAGAATCAATTGGGAGAATTAAATTTTAGTTTGGAAAAGTTATTAGATGACAAAAAGCTCCAATCGGATTTTGATAATATTAAAAAAGTTATGGAAAAATATGAAAGAGCAATAAAAAAAAAGGGTATGTATCAGATAGATTAATAAATATTATTATAGTGATATAGTTTCTAACTATTTTTTTTAGAAAATAATAATAGGGTTACACATGAGCATCAGCCACAACAACCTCAACCAGAACAATTACAAAAAACACCACAACCAGAAAAACCAGAGCATCCACAATATGAACAACCACAAATATTAAATCAAAGGGTTCATAAAAATATTTTATCAGAAGAAATCAATACAATTTTGGGGGAATTAAAAGTCATTGATAGTAATTTATCCAATTTCAAATTTTTAAGAAGTTTAGAGACCCATCAACTTGACTTCCTTATTATAAATGTTGTAAACTGTGCTGTATATTTCGATAATGTATCCGATGATGTCAAAACTATTAGTAGTCTAATAGTTTCAAAGGTATTTTCCCAAGCATATTTCGATCCAAATATTCCAAAAGAATATATAGATAAGATTGAACTTGCCATAGAAAAGCTATACTTAATCATTGCCAATTGTAAAAAACATAGACATTATCAAATTGAAGGTGCTGTTTCAGTTTTTAAAGATTTAGCAATTTCCCTTTATAAAAATAAATCAAATGGTAAAATCAATGATATGGTTATTATTGACATGGTTTGGTGTTCCACCTTAGATCTTTTTGAAGAGTTTGGAAGTTATCTCGAAGTATACAATCAATTGCATTATGAAATCTATTATATAATTTGCAATTACTTTCATTTTACTAGTGATAGCATTCGTTCCGAACACTTTAAAAGATTCATGGATATTTCAAAATTAAGAGGTTAAATGTAACCAATTCATTTTTTTTCAAATAATAGTTTGGTACATATTTTTCATCAATTATTAGCTCCCTTATTTAGAAGTAACCAAGGTATTATATCTTTATTTATATTTTTTATTTAATATTAAACTTTTTATTAATATATTTATATTTATTTAATTTAGATTATTATTTCATCTTTTAATTTATTTTTGCCTTTATGTTTTTTTTTATAATTCAATATACCCACCCATTTTATTTTGTAGCAATAACAACAATTTAAAATTAAATATTTTTTTATTTTGTAACACACTGTATATATTTTCTATAGATCAATAATTAGAATGTAAGTAAAATATCATATAGTTTTAAATAAACACTAAAACCAATCAAAATATTGAAAATAGAGAAAGATTAACTAAACAATTTAATTTTTATTTTATGACAGTTTGAATATTTAGATATAAAATACTATAGTAAGATCTTCTCATAGGTTTATGTGAACAGGTTTCTTTCTCCTAAAAATATCTTAATTTAAATAATTCATTTTCAAAAAGATGAAACTTAGATTCAATTAAAGAACAAATAGTGGCATCACCATCAACTAATCTGTTTTATCAACACGGTATATTCTAGATTTTGACCGGGTACATTTATTAAATCCACTGAAGACAAATCAATCAAGTGAAACTAATTAAAAGTTTTCAATCTAATCAACTATTTGATTAACACCAATTTTGTTCTGGCCAAACAAACATGGTATATAGTCAATAGATCTAGATCTAGATTAAACAATTATTATTTCTTTCCTACATACATCCATTCTTTTAAATTTCAAATGGCGACATGTCAAGGATTAGAAGGATGAAATAAACCCAAACATTCACATAAATTAATCATAGTTAACCAAGAATAACAAATCAAAAATAAATATAAAATAGATAAAAAATATTCTAAAAGATTCATAAAATAAAAGCAACAATCAAAAACTTTTTATTTATTTAATATTTGTTAGTTTAAAATACATGTACTTCTTCTATTATTTTCATTGTTGCACTTGACAAGTTTTTTTAAATAAAAAACCGTTAAAAAAAGTGTTTTTGATATTTTCAATAAATTGCGCATGTGGTCTAGTGGTATGATGCATCCCTGCCACGGATGCGAACTGGGTTCGATTCCCAGCATGCGCATAATTTTTTATTTTTAAATATTAAAATTTTCCAGGTGATTTGGTCTTCATTCTTATTCTGCTGTTTTCTCACATTGGAGACTATTACAATTGTAATGTATTATCATCAAAATTCACTTAATTAATTAATTATAACTTAAATAGTCATTTAATCAAACAATTATAATAATTAATAATTTTAATAATTAAAAATAATTTAATTTTAAAAATAAAAAAATAAAAAAATAAAAAAATAAAATAAAAAATTTTCGAATTTTTCGTTTTTATTCAATTTTCTCATAAACTTAAAAATCATATAATTTATTATCTTTATTTTTATTGTTTATTAATTATTTATTTATACTTTAAAGTTCATTTACATTACACAATGTCTCATATTTGCCATTAATAATTGTTCGTGCAAGACATTTATAAATTTGTAAATCTATAGGAAAAATAATAGTTTATCTTGTCTTTTTTTTTTTATTTTTTTTATTTAATTTATATTAATTTTATTTTTAAAAAAAAAAAAAAAAAAAAAAAAATATTTTAATTTTATAAAAAGTATAAGCTTTTTTAAGGAGAAGAAAATAACTGGAAAATGAAAGGGGTGTGGGGTAAACCGATAAGGTGGAAGGTAATTTTGGAATTCCCCCAGGACTTTTGGTGGAACCCCAAAAATATTTGTATTTCGGTTGGTGTCCCCTATG